TCTGCCCTGGTCTCTCAGACAAACACCTGCACCATGATTTTGCAACTTTTGTCGGCCTTCTTATGGAAAGTCTGTGGAAGGTATAACAGAACTGGGATGGCGAGTGCATGCCATCTAAAAGGGGTTATGCCCAAAGCCAGTTGCAGGGGTCCTGGGTTTTCATTTAATAGGTTTATTCATTATCAGAACCTACCTGTAAGTGATGCTTCATTCTGAATTCAAGCTCTACCTTCAGAATCCCTAATAACCACAGACACAGCAATCCAAACTTGTATTTTATTGGGTGATTAGAAAACAGTATTCCTTCCTGATCATGCAATTAAAATGTACAGTGTCTATAAACATAATAATTGATTATTTAAACAATTTTATTAATATTTTATTCATGGCTAATAATAAACTGTGGAGAAGTATTTTGAGATGAAATAGATAACCCACTACATATAAAATTGTAACATAATTGTTTTAACATATATTGGTGATAACTTGCCTGAATCAGTTACTACAGTGATTGCAATAGTCCAGGGAGAGGAACCCCAAAAAGATTCCAAATAGAACTGGATTTGTGCAGCTAAGTGCAGCCTTTGAGGAGATTCATCTACACATTCTAGGCTTATGTGATCATTTTTATTTTGCTAATGGGAGCTAATGGGAGCAGGTGGGCCAGCACAATCTCTATTATCAGTTCATCTTGAGGTGAATGAGAATATCTCAGTATAAAACCTTATGTACAAATTTGAAATTTTTTTAAAAAAAAGCTCAATACACCTGTGAATGCAAATCTTAAATAATGAAGAAACTCAGATACTTAACTCTGAGTTAGGAGACTGAAGTGTGCAGCTGGCCTGGGATTTGGTGCAAGGTGCCTCTTTGATTAAATATTCCACAAAGTAGGAGGGCCCAATCACCCACTGAAGAGACAACAGTTGAGAAATAAGAATCAGACTTTCCATGTGGAGAAATGATTTGACAGTATGATATTAACAGACTGTACATCCCCAAGTTGTGGTTAGCCTAGGGATCCCGGTGTCCCAGTGGTAACCCCACCACCATCAAAGCATGCAATGGACTCTGATATGTATGAATAAACCACCACACTTTCCTTTCCTTCGAAGGAGATGAACGGGCTCTAAAGCCTTCACTTGGGTGACCTTATTTCTCCTCAGTTAAATTTGTTTTTAGATGAGTTTTGCTCTCTTTGATAGATAGCAACATAATGTCAACACAATTGAGTCTCCATTGCCCTCAAGCACCCACTCCCAAGCCTTATATGTCCAGAAGCTGAATGGCCCATGGTCACTAGATCTGTAATGTAGAAATAAAGTCACCCCAAGTAGAGAAACCAGAGACCAGGATTCCATTACCCTCCTTGCCTTAAGGTCACTGACTTAAAAGGATTCACACGCATTGAAAAGCCCAGGAATAACTCAGACCCAGAAACACGATTGTGTGTGTCAGGTATTTCAGGAAAAGAACCCATGAGGCTGCATAGGCATCCCTGGCTGCTTCTCAGCTTCAGCTCCAAGGCCACATTAGGTGAACTCACTATCAGTGTGAACTCCGTGTGCATTCATTCTCACCTGGTAGAAGCTCTGGGGACTTAAACCGGAGAACACTGCCTGGATTTTGCAAGAGACTCAGTGTTGTATTTTGCAAGAGATTCAGTGGCAGTGTCTAAAACCTTGGGATCTGATAAATCACTGGGCCTGGGGCTAAGGATGGCACAGTCAGGGCACATTTGGTGAAAGAATGCTTATTAGAGAAACTGTTAATGTCAAAGAGAGCACCAAAATGAGGCTTCGTGATTTTTAATCCCACATCCGTATGACCACAACAGAGACAGAGATTGTAAATAAAAAATGATAATGCTGAGCTTCATCAAGAATGGAGTGGAAAAGACACTTTCTGAATAGAAAACTGTCAGCACTGGGTTTTGTGCAATAGGAATGTATTGCACTCATAATTAAAAGTAAAATCAAAGGGTGTTTTTCCTGTTCACACCTTGGCTTATGTTTCAGAATGGATATTGTTCAAAACTCATGATGTATGTATATGTTTCTACTGATTTAAACACTTTTTCCCCATTGGGTTCAATATCATCAAGAATCACTGCCTCTCTTAGGGGGTCTGGCAGCCTTAACAGGTTGAGTTTTCTTTACATCATGGCTTTTTACCCATTAGTCCCTAACATCAAATATAATGTCTAATGCATGGTAATGTCTAGCAAATATTTGTTGTGTGAATGAGTAAATAGCCCCGTTGAAGGTGGGAACAGAAGCTGTTTGGTTAGAAAATGCAAATGACTCAGAAAACAGAATTTGATTAATCAGTGTGACCAGGTACAGTTCTCACACTAGTGGTACAGTCAGAATTTCTGAATGGAAGCAGGTGGAGGAGGCAACTCTAGCGGGAAAGTGCTCAGGGGACTTGACTGAAATTCATTTCTTAGAGTAAACATATTGTTGAGACAACTGTTTTCAGACAACTGTACTATTCATTTGCATATTTATTGTGGAGGGGTTTGGAGGTTTAGGTTAAGGGGTAGTTATGAGCAGCTTATCACTCTTGGCTCTATTGTGAGGTCACTTCTGACTAGATTATTTAAGTCCTGATTCTGATTAATTGTTGTCCGTTAATTTATAGTTGAGAAGTCCCATCTTTATGCCCAGGAAGCTTAGATGGTGGTAAATAATGGATTTGCTTGATTGCATTGTCCCTCAAGAAAAATGCAAAAGAGTTATCACCCAGAGTTTGTTGAGAAATGTAGGGTCTATGTCTCATCCCAGCCTTAGGGACTCAGAAATTGCACTTGAATATGACTGACCAGGGTTATCATATACATGTAATATCATGATAAGTGGTCATAACCTGCTTCCCATGTGCTGAATGCTGCTTATACAAGCAGGACGCAGAATGCAAGCACCAATATATTTCAAAAATCATGACTTGCAGCATAATTTTAGGACATTCATTCATTTTGTTGTTGTTCTTTTATCATTAATTTTGTGCATTTTCATCTCAGCTGTAATCCCCATGGGCTTCCCACCCATGGGAAGGACGAGCAGCTGCCCTGTCTAGGAAGAAGGTGCTGAAAGCTGTATGTTTATTGTTTTCTAATATAAATTCAGTAATGCTTTGATGAGAAAAATGAAATTTCAACAGCCACTGAATAATCTGCTATTCCCATTCATTTTACAATGAAAAAATGGTGGCAGGCAAATTGATACCAACCTAATAATAGTTACAAAATGGGTAAGGATAAAAAAAGTAACAAATGTAGGTGACTGTTACGTTAATTATAAATGATTACTTCTAAAAACAGCTTCAATTTGCAAAGAGTTAAGAACTCCTTTGAAAGAAGTTTTATATGGTTCTCATTGTGTTTATAATGTCTGAATAAAGGCTAAATATAAGCAAGTGTATGCATACTGGCCAGTACATAGTAAGTTATGTTATATACTCTGGATGTGAGTGATGCCTGGATGTGTTCTCCGACCTTTGTGCGAAAAATACTGTATCTAAGGGGTTCTTGCCTTGACTATCAAGAGCACTTCCGAGGCGATCTCCGAGCCCCGCAACACTGCCCATGGACTCCATCACTCGACTGCTGCAGGTGGGATGTGGTTGAAAGGAAACCAGTGTGAAGTAATCAGGAGTGAGACCATCAAGACAGAACTTTATTTGGCTCAGCAACAGAGTGATACAGTGACATTCTTCTCTATTTAGATTCCGCCCCATCTTCTTGTGTGTCCACTCGGGCTGCTGAGGGGGGCGGTGGGGCTACTGTGCCTGGGGGGGTGCTGCCTCACCTGCCCCCCGAGCACGGACCTGGTACTCGCAGGACGGCAGGAGCTCCTGTAAATACAGCAGAACTCTGTTAGCCTGCTGTCAGCATTCAGCATAAGAAAGTCAAAGTTGACAAGATGAGACTTCTCTCCTGACATCTTTGGTCCTTTATTTACAAGTGCAGATAATATAGGAAAAGAAATTGATCTCAGAGACTCAGAGGCATGCACTGAGTTGAACTCGAGTGATGCACACTGCCCAGGTCAAAGTAGCTATCTCAAGCCCTGTCTTATTTCTCCGGGTAAAATCCTACTGCAGGTCATAAAATGTATGCCTCTCTTGTATTCTAAAGCAATTAACGATAGCTCAATTATCTCTTTTGCAAAGACCAGCTCTTCACTGTAGTAACAAAAAGATGATGTGAATGTAGTTGCCAGAGGCATTTGCTTCCTCATTTGCTTCTTCATTTTGTCCCTGAAAAAAATTTGTATCACATCTTGTGATATTGCTTTATGGATTATTAAAAAAAGAGAGATTTTTAGCAAGCCTGCCTCTGTATTACTTCCTGTTTTCCATATATTTCATTAAACTCAGATCTGTTGAAAAATAAGGATTACTCAATCTAGCCTCAGCAATAAACAGGAAACTTTTTGCTTCTTGTTGCAAAGACTAGTTAATAGAGTTAATGAGTAAACAGAAATTGTTGACTTATCAAGAAAGAGGATTATCAGACTAGCTTTGTCAAGGAGAAGTAGCTGGTTTAAGTGGCCCCCTTTAGAAACAGGTGACACCTCGTTGACTTTCTATTTTCTCCCGTTGAACAGACTCTATTTATTTATGTTGTTTTATTTGATCTTTGGAAATTTTGATTTTTCTTTTCCCCAATAAGTTTAGTTTTCAGTCTCCTGACTTCCTTTGTTTCCACGTGTTCCTTTACCAGATGCCACAGTCTATTCTAAATGTCAAAAGTTTTTGTGAAAACCAGTGATGTCCATTTTAAGATACACATTTGTGATACCTTATTAGAGAAGTCCGTACACCATAAGGCACTCTCATTTTTCCATTTTCTATGCTAGTTAAAAAAAACTCAGAAGGGGTCCTGTTCACAATTTTGTATGGCTGGTCCATAGATATTAATAGTGTCTCCACTCACACTCTCACTAATTGCCTCTAGGCTTCTCAGAAGTTTTTTGGGGTTGGGTTCACCACATCAAGATTTTTGGACAATGGGAATAAAGGGCAATAAGGTGCTAATGAAACACCCATGGCAGCATTAATTATACAAAGCATCAGAGAGATTAAAGTCATGAAATTTTTCATTTCCACAGTTGGATTCATTCCATTAACAGGCTTCCAGGGGCAACTGGAACATATGGGAGAAGTTGTTTCTAGAAATAAGATACCAAGCTAAAGGAAAAGCTATTTGGGTCTACCTGGATATTAGGAATCCAATCATCATCACTCTCTGTGGGAGCTGTTGATGGGTTAAGCATCACAGCTGCAAAGAGATCTGAGTCCTGGAAGTCAGGAGAGGTGACTGCAACCCCTGGCTGGGCTCGGGAAGGAGGGGAAGGAGTGGGTATTGGCTCTTCTGTCTTCCCTTGTGTCTGTGCAGAAGGTGGAGTGCTGGCTTCAGAGGAGACTGCCAGATGCTATTATCACAATTTGTGCTTTCATCCTGAAAGGTTCCAACTGGCTTCATGAATTGAATATGTAGGTATGAGATAGCCACAAAGTAATTGTTGGCATGAACACCAAGACATGTAGATTTTGGACTACAGTGCTTGTGTGAGACTGTACATGTCCTCCATATAGCAAAAAACCTAAATCAGAAAAAAAAAGAGTCACCTAGTATTGATATATGTGGATAATTCTACTTATACTGTCGCTACCTGTGTGTTGGTTCAGGTAGTGCTCAGTGGTGTAAAGAGCACAGTTTTTAGAGTCAAACGAGTCAGACCTTAGAGTCATGGGCTTTGTGGCAACCAGGGTGAGCCTGGTTTAATCTGTATGTGCATACAAGCACCACTAACTTCAGTTATTCCTGTTGCACAATAAAAATAATAGCAGCATCTTCCTTGTAGAATTATCAGGAGGAAAATGTACTTGAAATCCTCTGTCCAGTGCCTGGAACAGAGGATGCTCTTGATAATGTTATTATATACCTCAGGGACTCAGCATCATTCTAACATCCACTGGCTTAGTCTAGATACTAGGGAAAGTATTACTTAGCTCCCAGGAGGCGCTTAAAAAAAAATAAAAGATGATGCAGACTGATGCTTTTTACCCTTGAACATGGACATGATCCCCTGGGGATGGTTTTGACTCAGTAGCTGCAGCATAGGGCTGAGACCTGCAATTCCCCAAGCTCCTGGATAGAAACAGAGGGCAGGGGAGCCCCGTGCCTCATCTCAGACACCCCTGGCAGGTGTGCAGCTAGTGTTAGCACCCACAGCAGCTAGTGTTAGCACCCACAGTAGGGTCTGCATTGCCCAGGGAGAGAACCCACCTTGCCATGGACATTGGCAATGTGTTGGACATATTAAGAGGACTGCTGTGCTCATTTCTAGCCACAGGAAAGAGAGTAAGCAGAGAAACATGAGATTTTGCCTCATTTGAAAAAGATAATGACCCAATTCATTTTCATGTTAAATACCCCAAAATGGCTTTTTCAAATAACCCAAACTGAGCCCAAACCGAGTAGAATCATGGGTTTTGGGTCACAGTTGACAGTAGTGTGAGTTGTGTTCATCCAAGGTACAATATGAATGCGAGAATCACAGATTAGCACATGCTATCAAGAAAACGGAAGCAGAAAGAGAAAAACTGTTATTCGTGAAATACTTAAACAAGTCTAAAACATCAAATAAGCTTCCGGGGAATAAGCAGCTGGCTACGAGACAGCTTACCCCAGGCTCCTTGACCGCGCAGCTACTGCTGAAGTCTGTGTTGTTTCCTTTGGAGCATGTGGTCTCCTCAGCTGTGAATTCTATATAATATGACATTCCAGCGACCAACTGAAAAATTAAATATGAAAAGTAGGTTCTCAATACAGAGCCATTGATCGTCTACTTTTACTTTAAGCAAAAGAGAGCATATTGACATTTTACTTATATACTGACTAAATGGGCTGTGTAAATCATTCATTCAAAATCATTCTAATCTGATAACAAAATATCTGTCTTATATGCATGTGTAAATTATTTGACTGTTGGTAGATCCTATTCCTTTCCTAATGGAAAACAAAAAGCAGGATATAATGTTTGTATTTTTTTGAGTCTTTATTGTTCAGCAATTTTACGGTCAAAATTCACTCATAATTCAAGGTTCAAGTTGTGTTGGAATCTAAAAAGAATAGGAAGAAAAATTAAAACATGCTCTATTCATGATATGTCCTCTCAAATTTGAATCAGATAAATTCTGAGTAACAATATGATAATTAAATGATTAATTACCATAGAAAAAAGCTATGGTAGCTTTTAGAAAAACTATTTAAATTTTTCTTCCTATTTTTTTATATTAAAAAATTATTTTCATCTTGTTATAGCATAAATCATTACACAATTCTGTTTTTCATTAAGCAAGTTGTAATCAAATTCCTTATCTTCTTTTTTTGAGTGTCTTACTTAAAATTAAACTCATTCTGGTTTTTTTTTAAACTCTTAAATGATGATATTTTTCACCATTTAAACGTGCAATTCCTATACCTCTCACATACTTGAAAAAAATCACTTGATAAAATGTGTTATACTTATAAAAGTTACATCACATGATCCAATTTCTACCCTATATTTCAGTATTTAATTCCAGGATTTACGTGTGTGTGTGTGTGTGTGTGTGTGTGTGTGTGTTTATGAGAGAGAGAGAGAGAGAGATTATGCAGCTATGTAAAGGAATACATTACATGGATCTGTAACCTGGAGGCATGATCATATTGGAAAATGAACTGTTGAATGAAGTTAGTGTAGTTATAGAAATAATGCCAATTTTTGTCAAACAAGTCACAACAACTTTCCTACTCTGTAGTTTTTTTTTTTTTTTTTAAGGTGGAGAAAATATGGTAGGTAGAGGAAAGAGAACAAATAATCATAGGAAGAATTATACTCCTCTACTTTTCTGGAATTGTTTTGCTATGAAGCATGGCTAACTTTTTAAGATAAATTTAATAATTAGCTTTTAAACTCCAGCTGTGATTTTAAGTTGTGTTGGAGTGTTGTTAGAGGGTTTTAGAGTATATTCTTAAGTGATCATAAATTTCCGTGCTCATTTCAGAATACACCTTGATCTAGGCTTTTGGCATTTAAGTTAATCCTTGTGAGTTTTTAAAACATTGACATCATATGATAAAAAAGACAGATATTTGCTCAATTGTGTCCTGGGTCCAGAAGTGGACTATTCAGGAGACCGAATGACATCTTTCAAGGACCTCTTTCAAGATGACAACCTCATTGCCATTATTAGTGGTATCATTCTTAGCAGTCTGCACTTAAACCCATGTTACCCTAGTTTTGTTTCTATGGTAGAGAATATAATTTAGATATATAAGTTTCAAACACTTTAAAATTTTAAAGAAATTAATTAGAAAGATAAACATAATCTCAGGATGGGAAGCTCTTTTTTAGGTGAAGGAAACTGAAAGGAAGTGGAACATATCTAAATTTGACAAAAATGAAAACCTCAAGAATAACAGTTCGCAAAAATGACACCCAGGGGATACGATAAAGTAAGCTCCATGGTTTTTAGGTCATAAACCCCATCATTATTATAATGGACAAAGAACATAAATAGGCATTTTAGAGAATACTTAAAATGGCCATTAAGTCTGAAAAAAAAAATGGCCACATTAAAACCAAAAATATGCAGATTAAAAAAAGCAGTGTTCCATATTGGCAGTAATGACAGCTGGTATTGCCTAGGTGGGGGGAACACGCGCCCTAACCACTGCTGTCTGGAAGACAACTCAAATCAAGGTCATCAACTCATGTTTATGCCGAATGGAATACAGCAAATTGTCATCATTGCAATAGTTTGGTGATATGACAGTTTGCATTAAAAATCTTAGTTGTATACATTTCTAGGACTTTGGCAAAAGGAAATTCCTAAATGTGCATATACAGATTCTTGAGTATATTGACCTGAGTGCTGCCAGGGAGGAAAGTTGAGAGCAGCAGAGACAGTGGCAGTGGGGTCAGGGACCAAAGAGATGATATCAGGTGACATCAGTCATTCACCTGAGAAACTGGAGGATTTAGGGAATATATAGCTCGGAACATACATGTGTCCAAACAGGACTGAACAGGCAAAGCTGAGGTAAGACAAAATCTACATGAAGTAAATCTTTAGGAATTTGACCAATTGGTCATTTGAGATTGGCTTTTGGCAAATTTATCCTGTGGTCTATTCATTTCCAGCAAATTGGCCTTTTCTACCGAGGCTTCTTTGAGTAGCTACGTACAAGCCGTCAAATGGATTCTCTCCTTGTTCGTTCATTGGTTCCTCCCGCACCTCCTGTCTCTCTTTTTTTCAAAATAACTTTCTTTACATCAGAGATTATTAACGCTTCTTATCTTAAAAGTAAGTTTGAAATTTTTGAATATTTTTTAATATTCCAGCTTGATTTAGTAACTGAAGGGATGCCACTTCCCTTCCATTCAGTATATTACTTATGATTGTTCATCCTTAGCAAAAACAAGAGCACATATATTACAACATTAACTAGTTGATATACAAGGAAAATTAGAACTTCTAATAGGACTAGATATTTATGCATGAGAATAGCTAATTTTCTCAACAGAACTTTGACAGTCAATATATGGCCTAGCTCTGGATTATTCTGTCATCATTAGAAAGAAAGGAATATCACAAGAAATCAGAAAGTGAGAAGAAACTGAAAGGGACAAACACAAAAGTAGCATGGATTGGGATCCCCTTAAAATAAACTCATGTGTGGCCCTCCCTGGTGGCGCAGCGGGTTAAAGCACAGCACTAAGAAGCTAAAGCCACTTCAGCATGAGTTTGATCCCTGCCCCGGAGGTGACCACATGGCGCGGCAGACCTCTCCTGGACCACCAGCTGCTCCCCTCAGCAGTGTGCTTCGTTGATCTTCCTGTTCTGCTCTCCACTGTCTGTGGTGAAGCCTCTCACTGGCCCTGCACCTCTGGCCTGTACACCGGTTCTGTATGCATAAATAAATAAATCTTAAAAAAAAAAAAAGTGTGCCCGAGAAATCAGGGAGGGGTTGTGCCTAGGACAGAAATAAGTGCCTGAGTAGTAGAGAGATTAAAGTGTCAGTTTTGATTTATTTTTAGCACAGTTTGATTTTTTTCTCCCTAACTATAAAACTAATACAGAAAAGAAAGATGAAAACAAAACAGTCTACTGTGCCATCACCTAAAAATCATCACTGTGAATAGTCAGATGTATTTGTTTCTTCTTTATAACACAGTGACACATGGTACATCTGATTTTATGATCTCTTTGTGTCACTGCTTATTTTATTTATTTATTTTTAAAGATTTATTTACTTGTGCATACAGAACTGGGGTACAGGCTAGAAGTGCCGGGGTGGTGAGAGGATTCACCAGAGACACTCTGGAGAGCAGAACAGGCAGATGGACAAAGTACACTGCTGAGGGGAGCAGTGGGCAGGTCAGGAGAGGTCTGCCATGCCATGTGAAACAACCCCTGGGGCGGGGATTGAACTCAACACTGAAGTGGTTTCGGCCAACTTGCAGTGCTACGGCCTAACTTCTTGCACCACCAGGGAGGACCGTTATTGCATCTTTTAACATAAGACAATTCCCATACTGAGAACGACTCACAGTTACTTAAAAATTGCTTCCTGATAATACATGATAACATTATGCCAGACTTTATCTGACCATTTCTGTATTATTGATCATTTTGATGGATAAGAAGTTTTTGCTCTTCTAGTTAAAACCACAATCAATAGATTAAAAACTCCTATTTTCAAATTCTAGATTCCTGAGTCAGAATCATGAACTTTTTTTTAGTAAGATTCTTTTGTTGTTGAGATTATAAAGACCGTGTCAGTTTGCTCTAACAGTGGATTCTATTTTGATGACTTCTTTTTAAGCTTGTATATAAGGAAACCAAGTTTGAGGATCTATAATAACAATCTGTCCACAATTACATGAGGCTGTTGGAGATGAAAGGGACTTGGGCTTCACTAATCCTGCCACAGTTGGGGTCACAAAGGCGGGCTGAGGCTGAAGGACAGTCCAGGGCCCAGGATGAGAGCGGTTGATAAGGAATAACGGGGTGTGCTGAGCCCCAGCCCAGGGCTTTCCTCACCCTCTGCTGACAGATGTGGAAGACAGAGGACACCCAGAGCTGCCCCCAGACAGGGGGTTGGGGAAAATGACAGGGATATGCAAATGTGAAGAGTCTGGGTAATAACAACTCACTGTTGTGACTGAGCTCAAGGTTCTAAGAAAGTTACAATGAGAGATGAATCTAGAAAGGCATAAAATAAGTCTTGCTTTTTCTAGCCCCATGCTTTTTCTAGCTTTTTGTTAAACTGTATCCTAGTGATTCTTATTTTAAAAGTGGTTTAGCATTTGAAAAGTGATTGATTCATATTATCTTCTTTAATCACCACCCCACTTTATAAATCAAAAATGCAGAGAATATTCTGAGTGCCTTGCCCAACATCAAACACCAAGATTACAGTCAAGTTATGGCGTGAAAATCAAATCTTCCAAATCCTAGGTATGTTATTTCCCAATCCAGAACTAAGATTAGTGGCAAAATTAATAAGCAATTTGCACATAGATGGTATATCACTATTTTGGTACCACTGTTTACAGACCTGAGATGTTGCTCTTTTCACATTGGCAATCTTGAAATAGAATATGCTATTAATGGCTGCATTAAGCTGTATGGATGTAAGACTCAGAAGCTTATTCATATTTGAGCTGTTGAGAGGTAAATTTACTGGACAGCCTGCACAAAACCTTGGGAAAAAAGCCCCCTCTGAAAAAAAAAAAATCAGGTTCAATTCATTGTGTACACAGAAAGAACAATGTAGACTAGCACCTGACCGTACAGGAATCAGCATCCATTTACCTGTGTCGGAAACCCTGTGTGGTAGGTGGAGGCTGCCTCTCTGGCCTCTGCCTGCTGCCTTCCCACTGTTCCTCTCCTCTGAGCCCGGTGTATTTAGGGAGTCAGCGAATCTCAAGGTGTTAATACCTCAGTCAATATTGGTGCCTTTTAACTTTTTGTATTTTTGTCAGTGACTGTTAAAAGCAACACTTAACTTACAGGGATGGCTCTCTAATGGGAAAACTTTAAGTCCTATGACCCTGGTGAGCCGGCAGGAATGCTCCTTACTGTGGGTCCATACAGCTATTTCAGGTGGCAGAAAAGCCAACTCTTGGTATAAGAAATACTGATTTGGCCATAAGTGAAACCAACTCTTTCCCCCATTATAACATGAAGAGAAAAAAAAATCTTTAATGAAGAGGACTTTATTCTGAATACTTAAAAATGTGGTCAGCTTTCCCCAACCGAAGGCACTTGGCATAGGGCCACCCTGTACACAAGGAAGGCTAAATGCCACCAACCGCAAGTCCCCCTGTGTCACCACATCCCCTTTAGTCCCCTGTGCACACTCTGCCCCACAGCAGTGCAGAGATGGGGTACAGTGTCCTCAGCAGGGCTCTTGACCAATACACTTTGTGACATAGCGTGGGAACTAGTGTCCCTCTCTGTGACAAGACCCAGACAGTAGTGTGTGGCACCACACAACAGAGCTAAGGTCCCAGCGTGTGTTCTCGTACCTGGTGCGATGTTACATTTCTGTGAGTTTGAAGCAATTCTATGCGAAAAGTCGATATGTGCGCTCTCTGTGCATTCAGCGGAATCCTGGTTTTTAGAAAGTAACAAGGACATGATTTAAATATTTTTAAGAAGGTCCATACAAGTACTAAAACCCATTTATTAATAAGAGTTAAACTTCAGAACTTGTTGCACAGGAAACAACACATAGTCAAATTTAAAAGAGAGAATAAGACGCAGTTATATGATGGCATTAGCCCTAATAATCAACCCATACACATGGAAATATGAAATAGCATGACAAGAAAATATGATGTAGAACATGGGAACCATAGAAGTCATGGTAACATTTTCATTTAGAAAGCCAAAGATTTTCACGTAAGCTAGAAAAACAAAATAATTTGATCAGAACTTTAAGTAAAATATCTTGTAAAAGCTATAGAAGTGATTTGTGGAAGTAGCTTTTGGTACAAAACAGAAATGTTGAGGTGATTATGCAAAGTGTAGTAAGTCAAAACGTGAATGATAGCTTTTGGAAGCTTTCACTCATTTGCAGAATATAAATATAGGGAAAATACTGGTGAAGTACAACAAACATCATTCTTAGTCTCTGAAAATGTTCTGGCTACCAGAGGGGTGTCCAGAGGCAGGAGGGATCAAGTGACAGGAATGGGGTTGAGCATCAGATTGGAGCATTGGTGGGAGGAAAACAAAGCATGTGATTGAGGGAGGTGTCAATCTGTACCCCCAAATTATGCTTGTATAAACAACTGGCAAACCAATAAATTAAAAAAATATATATGACATTAACAAAAAGTATTGTGAAAATACAGAATAATACTTTGTAATAAAAAGGATAAAGAAAATTTAAACCGAAGAATGAACAAAGTTTAGGCCATTATGAACAAAAATGGAATGGAGTACTATTAATATTGGGCAACTGAGATTCAAGGTAGCAAAATGTTCAAAAAGGTAGTGAAGAGAATCATTTATCATAATAGAAGATACAGTCGTGAAGTATGGACTCAAATACATAAAGCAGAAAACATTAGCTATATGAATCAAGATGGATAAAAATATTGTGGTGGGACAATTTAATATAAATTATAAATGTAAGGTGGTCCATAGTTTAAAACTAAGATTTATATAATATAGTATTTACATAAAAGATATTTGCATATAGTACAAATGATTTAAAATTAACTCAATTAATTTTGCAAATCGAAAACAATTCAAGCCATGTTTTTTGACCTCAGTACCGATAAACAAAATACAAAGCAAAACATAGATTTCTGAAATGAATGGTGCCATTTTAAACAGAAAACTAAATACTTGGAAATGTATACATGCGTTGCCTAAGCAATTTTTCTTATTCCTTGAATATGGAAAAGCAAATTGAGCAAGCAATTGCACAGAAATTTGCCACAACAGCAATCAGAGCTAATTCATAGCTTTCATACATGTTTTCATAATTTATTATTAATACTATGTTTAAAACCATGGTAGGTGTCATGCTTTTAAAAAATTAATTAAGTTTTTAAATGGAACTAGTGTTAGCATTCCCGCGTCAGGGTTACTCCCACCACCAAATCACCCTTACTCTTCTCCCATAACCCATTGTGCTTCCTTCCCTCTTTGTTCTGCTGTCATACTTTGAGACAAGAATCAAAATAAAGTAACCCCAAATCTTGGGGTTACTCAAGAAGCTAGAAAAAGAAAATGAATAATCAACAGCCCAAAGGAATACAAAAAGGATGAAAACAATGAAGATAAAAAGCAAAGCCAAGGAATTAGAAGACAGAAAGCAAGAGCAATAGTAAATAAATCCAAATGATCATTCTTGGGGTAAGGAAAAATTTAAATGCATACAAAAAAGCAACACAGCAAAAGACATCAAGAGGTATCAATGTATAAAAGAATATTATAAACAATTGTATGCAAATTTAAATCCCAAAGAAACAGGCACTTTTGTGGAAAACTATAAATAACCAGCACTAACATAATGTTTTACAAATGAATAATAATTGAAATTAAATAAATCTATTTGTTTATATTATGTCTGCTTAGCCACATGCTATTAAAACTATTTCTGCTTATAAAAAAAGGCAAACTGACCAATTTATTTTATAGAGCTATAATCTATTTACCAGAAGTTGAAAAAGTAAAAGACACACAAATACACACCAGAAAACTGTAAATCACTTTCACCACAAAAGTAGAATCCAAATGCATATTCAAAGAAAAATTTACACTAAATACAATTTATTTTGAACTTAAAGATGATTATTAGGAAAGTTGTCAAAACAGCATAACAGTTTAAGATATAACAGCAAAATAGGATATTTCAATACTAAATCTAAAACATTTGCTGAATTCAATATCTACTTCTTATTTGAAAACTAAATTGAGCAAACCTTTTTAAAGAAAGTAAAAGTATTTCCTAAACTTGACAAAGTAACAAAATTCTACATACTACACCATGTAGTAACAAAAATCTGGAGGCATCTCTAATCAAATCAGTCCTAAGATATGAACATATATTGTTACTGTTACTTCAGAAATATCATCAAAAATTTCAGTCCGTTTATTGAGACATGGAACAAAAAAACAAGATGGAAAAGAGGAGAAAAAGTATTATTTATAAAAGATATTATATACCTACAACAATCAAGAATCGATGGAAAGCTGTTAGAGGTCTGTAAAGTTGCTGGCTATAAGGTAAAGGAATCAAAATTGGTGCATTTACATATAGGCAGTTATTTATTAAAATGAATAAAATAAAATAATGAAACAATGTAATTCCTAGAAGCAATAACCAAAGCACATAAAAGCTCTTTTATTATTATTATTATTACAAAAGTTTATTTTTACATCATTTTGTACATTTTTTTTTCCATCTCAATTGTAATCCCCGCGGGTTTCCCATCACCAAGTCACCCATGTGCCATCACCATAATCCCGTGCATTTCCTTCCACCCCCCCCCCGTTAGAACATAAAAGCTCTTAATTTTTTTCATTAATTAATTACTCGAACTTGACCTCTGATGGTGGTGCCATCTTCTATTGTATGGATATACTGTAACGTACTTAGCCACTCCACAATGCTGAAATAATTTATTTCCAATGTTTTCCTAATAATAATAACACTGACAGTAATAGGTTGCAGTACAGATCTCTCTCTTTTCATTTATGGGAAATTCAGAAGTAGAATGACTGGGTTAAAGGCCTTGCAACAGCAACCCTTTGCTTAAAAGCAGTCTTCTGCTAAAATGCGAGCACTCCAGGGAAGGTTACACCTTACCATCTTAACATGCACTCACCACTGCCACCTAGGTTAACATAATTTTGGTTCAAGTAACAAGATTTCATACTGTAAAGGGTTACCATGGGTAGAGACTCAAGGTGTGTTCATTAAACACAAAAGAAGGGGAAGGAAAGTGAGACAACCAGCAGAGTATGAAGTGAGGCGCTGTCTTGAATGGAATGTGTGTCTGAAACAGGCCTTTACTAGATTAAAGGCCTTGCAGCAACTCTTTGCTTAAAGCACAGTCTGCTGCTAAAATGCAAATACCCCAGGGGAGCTTATGCCTTAGCCATGTCAGATACAGAGGGACAGAGCTCATGGGAAAGGAGAAGGAGGAGAGCATGAAGATGGGAAAAGACAAATTTGACAATGACATGGTTTTGTCTCACACTGTTCCCAGCCCCTGGTTAGCTCTGAAAATACTTATTGCTTGATGTGCAGATTCCTTGACCACATATGTAAGGGCATATGGACCAGGGATGTGAGTTTATGCCTTCCCAAGAGAACA